CTAGAATAGCAGGTCTTATAGTGACAAGAAGTAAGAAAGGGATATCTGAAACAAACAGATGCACAAACTCACAATGATGGGGATATGTCAAAGGGACATAAGAACTGAGAGAGTCATCAATGGCCTAGGTTAATAATTTGAGTAACCAAGTAAATTACTAGCTTAGAAACCCAAAGTATAAACATATCCACATATCCATACTGATATGAGTAAATGAGTACAAAGTAAATAAGTAAGAGAAAATAGACAAATCACTGTGCAGAAGAATTCCAAATAATTTATGCAGACAGCCTCAGGGAAGTAGAGCATAACTCTGTTCCTTAAGCATGGCTACAGAGTGACTTCCTTCCAAAGAACAAAGTATAGAAAACTGGGAAAAAGAATAACTTTAGAGTGGAGGAAACAGATCGATGCCATCTTAGTCAGATGACTAAGGTTAACATACCAGTGATAAGTTATGTTGATAGTATGTTTCCTTGATATGATGTAATGAAAATGACACTTTACCTGTATAGTTTTCTCCCCCAAAACTCATAACCCAGTCTAATCATGAGAAAAACACCCATTCCATCCGATGGTGAGATAATCTACAAAGTACTTGACCAGTATGCCTCAGAACTGTCAGTCATCAGATCAAGCAAAATTTGATAAACTATTATAGCTAACAGGAGCCTAAGGAGACAGGATGACTAAATGCACTATGGTATGCTGGATGGGATCCTCCGACAGAAATAGGATAATAAGTAAAACTAAGAAAACCTAAGTAAAATATGGACTGAGATGAATAATAATGTATCAATATTGATTCATTAATAGTGACAGATGTACTGCACTATTGTAAGATGCTACTGATTGGGGACACTAGGTGTGGGGTATATGTGAACTGTCTGAACTGTCTTTGTAATCTTTCTATAAATATAAAACCATTTTAAATTTTATTTTTAAAAACTCAAATAGATGAAATAATGAGTACACAATGGGAACTGTTACTAACCTAAAGGATGGTTATTTTGCTTATTACACTGGTCCTCAAAGGTCAGCTCCATATAAAAGCTACTATACAGAAACAAAATGTTTCTACATATCCAAAAGGTGAAACTCAGATATTATGCAAAGTGATATGTTTTATTCACAACTTGATTTCTTTAGTATTGTCTTCTTACACTAGGAAAGTAATAGTTGTATTTACAAGCAGAAATGTCCTAAGTCATCCTTCTCTTTTCGTTTCAGGCTTACTTAATAAAAGCTTAAGTGGGTAAAGAATGAGCAAAGGGTATCTGTGAGGAAGACGAATGAGATATATTACACCTGCCCTTGATGCTGACAAATCTGGCTGCAGTTACTTTAATGTGCACAATACTCATGAAATACTCTACAGTAGTGGGCGCGTGCTGCCATTCACAATTTGTGCATCATCATTATGTCCCCAGGAGCTGTCAGTGTCCCCACTTTGATCAGCTTTTACCCAAATGATGCAAAGATGGTCTTTCCAGAGAGGACATTATTCCTAAACTACTCTGAGTTGTCTTCTTCCCCAATTCTGAACCATTTTTAAAAGGCACTCTGTATTTAACCTTAAGAAAACTAACTTTGGCAAACAATGACATTATTCAATCAAGCAGTCTGAAAGCTATACAATTTTTGTTTTTCAATGATGTAAGTAAATAACAAAATATTCCACTTCAGCCTGGTTAAGTGTGCATTGATATTTATTTGATAGCTTCACTCTGAAACAGTTGATTATTTTGTTAAAGAAGTAAGTTTTAAAATAAAGCACAAATCTCCAATTAATAAGATCCTAATCTGTGCAACTAAGATGAGACAAAATCAGTTTTGAATGATACATGATGATGTATGTATTTCCCATGTAGTCATTCATGCATGCGTGCATTCAACAAATATTTATCAAATCTCTATATGCAAAATACTTTTCTGGTGCTAGAAATAGAGCAGTGAAGGAAACCAAATTAATCCTTCCTTCATAGGACATACACGTTAAATGCAATTTATGAATAGGAAGGTGACAACACCACCAATTATTGGATAAAAACTGACAGTTACTTATAAGAAATACATCAGTCAAAAGGAGAATGTTTGCAAAGTAGTAAAGTGAATGAAGAATTTTCAAGACCGTCTTTGTATATTTAGTAACATAGTGCAATAAATATACAGGGCTAATGGGAAAATGAGTCTAATTCATGATTCGTGGTAACTCATAAAGCTATTCACTACTGATCAAAGTACATTAAAAAACTCCGCTGTCTTCCACAAGCCTCTGTTACTGTTTCTGCTTCAGTAAATTTGCTACTTTGCTACAAACATGCTGATGAACTGGGGGCACATAGCTTACTTTTTCTTGTTTCTTGTCTTCTGGATTCTTTGTCCACCATGAAGAATATGGCATGACTTTCCCTCACAAGGAAATCAATAGAGACTTTGAATCTTTACCAAAATGTGACTGTGAGAACTGCCAATCTATTACAATTTCCATAGAAGTAAATATACAGCAATTTAAAAACTACTTTTAGATAATTTGGGCTTTAACTGCACACTAAGTGTTATTCTTGAAAAAACTTTATGGAATTGGGTACCTTTAAGAAAACTAGATAAGGATGAAAATATGCATCCTCTGAACCTGAATATAAGAAAGGTCTGTGATTAAAAAAACAAAAGTGCACATTAAAATACTGAAGTCATTATCACCCTATTATCCTATATAATAAAAGGATAATATGAAAATTGACCCTAACGAAGGAATGACCAGGAATGACTGGTAGCTATGATGTGCACTGACCACCAGGGTGCAGACACTCAATGCAGGAGCTTCCCCCTGGTGGTCAGTGCACTCCCACAGGGGGAGCTCTGCTCAGCCACAAGCTGGACTGATGGCTGCGAGCTCAGTGGCAGTGGTGGGAGCCTCTCTCACCTCCTCCGCAGTGCTAAGGAAGTCCTACTGTGGATGAGCCGTCAGTCGGACATCCCCCGAGGGCTCCCAGGCTGCCAAAGGGATGTCTGACTGCTAGCTTAGGCCCGATCCCCCAGGGAGCAGGCCTAAACCAGCAGGTAGACATCCCTGGAGGGGTCCCCAACTGCAGAGAGGATACAGGCCGGGCTGAGGGACCACCCCGAGTACACAAATTTTCATGCACCGGGCCTCTAGTGGGTATATAAAACATGAAACAGTTAACTAATTTTGCTCTCTCACAGATATATGTCTGTTTATTTTAATTTATTAAAAGACACACTTCACCCTTGAGTTTCATAGTTGAGTTCATTGACATATAGTTTAAAAATAAGGTGTAGTTTTTTTTTGTATATTACTTTGCTTCTGCTTTGCCACCAATCACTCATTCCATTTATACTTAGTGGATGCTCCTCTGTCCCAGGCACTGATCTAAATCTAGAGAGTCAGCAGTGAATACAATAAACATATTTCTGCCCTCACAGAAAATTATATTCTACTTGAGAGGACAGAAAAAAAGCAAATCTCTATTTAAGATATGATATTAGAAGACACAAGTGAAAGAACTAAGGAGAAAAATGAAACACTGAAGGAGCAGAGGGCCTGGTGAGGTGAGAAGAGATGGATGGAGATGAGAGTTAGTTACTCGAGTGGTAAAGTAGACAGGTGAGGTCTCAGGAGAACCCAGAGGAAAGGGAGAGCTCTGGAGAAGCACCTCTGAGCAATGAATGCCAAGTGCTGTGGCCCTTGGGTAGGAGTGTGTCTGAAGTGCCTAAGAGCAGAAAGCCTGGGCAGGGCTGCTGAAGAACAGTAGCAGGAGGTGGGGTGAGAGGACACGCATGTGTTGATCCTTGTTTGAAAATCTAGGTTTGTGTTTTACTCTTGAGATAATCATATATATAAAAATCATTTTTATATAAATGTACATTTTGAGTATATAAAATTGAATTTCAGCATATGTCTGTTTATAATGCTCTGCTGTTGATAGGCTATGACTCTGGTTATATCCTACTTATTATGTCTGCGATCATTAACATCTTATATGTACCTATTATATACATATGTGTGTGTGTGTGTGTATACATATTATATCTAATATATATTATATCACAGGCACATCATTTATTAGATGATGATAGTCTTTCCTATATCTTTTATAGAAGCTAAAAGCTACAAAATAAAGATAATCTACATTAAAAAAATGTTTGTCAATATCTCTTTATAATGTCAAACCCAGAGCCCACACAAGTATCAACAGATTGATAAAAATGGATGTTGAATCAAATATTCACATGTTTTGGAATTTAAAATATCCAGACATATCTGAAATAGCATACAATTTGTTCTATTTTCATCAAAAAACTACTTTTCCTTGTACGATTTAGTAGACATTGGCCAATAACAACAAGCACCATAGGTGATTGTGATATCTCGTGAAATACTTGTGGCGAATAGAAACAAAGGAAAATTTTTGTTTTATTTGCAATTGTTTCTAAGATATAACATATTTTATAACATAGTTTTGAAGAAAACATGCACTATATTTAATATATAAATTTAATAATGATTATAGAACTCACAATTTCAGAAATAATAAATAAAAGAGAACCTTAAAGATACAAAAATGTAATAATATAGATAATTATGTATCTATTAGCATAATGGCATATATTATACAGAGTCCATAAATTTTAAAACAAGTATTTCAGGTCAACACAAATATTCTTATTAAGAAAAAGTAAAATCATTTATGTTTCTAAAATTTATAGAAAAAATGCAGACTTTAGTTTCTGTGTGACTACAGTTTTATGATAGAAAATTTTAAGAATACTTAGTTGATTTATATTTGTAAAACACTTTACAATCTATAAAAACTTATGTTATATAGAGAAAGTAAGATTGTTTCCAGGTTAAAAGAAAATTTAATTGTTTGGGATTTTTATTATACTGCCTTCCAGAAATGCCAATATACATTATACACAGTTGTAATTTCAGGGCTCTGTTAATCATGCTACTCTTTATTTATACTATTTTGCAGCTCCCTCTCCAATCACCAATGTGAAAAAGGGGAAGATTGCAAAGAACAGCATCTCTTTGTCTTGGCAAGAGCCAGATCGCCCCAATGGAATCATCCTGGAGTATGAAATCAAATATTTTGAAAAGGTAGGACTAACAAAATAAAGAATGTCCTTTCTTCTTCTTTTTTTTTTCATTTTAGAAACGGCAATTATCCAATTTGTAGAAAAGCCTGTTGCAATTTTATGTGTAAATCAATGACAATTGATTCTGCAGTCATGATTATGAAGGTGAGGAGTGTACAGGGAGCACGCTATTTGTGTCCTTTTGCTGCCAACTAGTTTATGCTGCCCGGATACTGCCATATAGTCTAACATCGGCTTAACTAGGTTTCACAGCATTAAGAGATGAAGTCATAGGACATTTTCAAAGTGTCACAAACACTCAAGTTGCTGACCTTCATGACTGACTGAGGTGTACTACAAGAAAAAGCGCTTGTGTACTGTCACCCTGCATAATGCCTATAGTGTTAAGGAAGTGTAAGCAGATAAGATGTGTATGTAATGTATACATTTTTAAAATCCATAACAAAGTGGCATAAAGTCCAAACACTGTACATAATATTTATTTTAAAATGTTGGGCCCAAAATTGGAAATGCGTGCCTCACATTCCCTATATTTTCTCGATTTCTTCACTGAGTTGACTCTTGGGTCCATTCTTACATGTTTGCCTTAATAGTTTTTGAGGTCTGAAGGCAATAATCATCGTACTTCTTTTCTGGATCCACAACCAAGTGAGTCACTAATAAAGGAATCGAACAAATGGAAACCAAAGAAGGGCCTATAATTTCTAAAGCTGGACCCGAGTATTTGGCTTAGATACGCAGCCATCATGAGTCTTCCAGCTCCCAGCCCCATTTCACTGTGATGTTTGTGGTCTGGATCTGAGTGACATACACCCCTAGAACAACCTGGGTTCTAACAGAGAAGATGAAGAGAGAGGAGTACCCAGCCAGCCTCGTCATTAGTGGGTAGGAGAAACTGACCCAGAAGTGTGTGTCCTACAGAAGTAGAAGTGAGGGTGGTTGTAGATTATAATGCAGAGAAGCAGATCCCAAGAGAGAAGGGTAGGGCTCAGACACACTAACTCAATTGCTTCTCCCAGACTCACAGAGACATCACCCTTTCCCTCTTAAGGAAGAGTGAAGAGGGTGAGAGGTAGTACAAAAACTTATTTTGCAATACCTAAGAAGTTGCCCAAACTATACATGGGAAGAGAGTGGGGGAATAAATTATTATCCTTATACTACTGCAAAAATATAATGAAAAATGCTGATTTCTTATTAATAAAAAATACTTTAAAATCTAACATTTTATGCCTAGATAAGAGTGTAAGTAAATACACTGAACTAATTCATAGCATTATAGAATATATATTTTAATTTTTTTCTTTAATTATTGATTTGACAATTACTTGTGTAAAAGTACAACAGAGTACAAAACAGTAGGATGTGTCGGGAGGTTGAGAGCAAGGCTAACTACATATTCTTTCTAGGTCTTCTCTGCCTGTACAATGTTAGTATACTGATTTTATAAATAAATGAGTAAACAGAAAATTATTTCTTTTGAAATTGTTTTCCTAGGAATGACTTGATGTAAATTATTGACTTAATGTAAACTATTGGGTCATTAGGGAACATAAATGAAGATACTTATATTTCACAGAAAATACTTCATCAAATACATTATTCACCAACAATGCTCTAAGAGAATACCTCTAAGAAAAACCAATGTTGAGACATGGTTTATAGATTTTATTGTAAAAAACAAGTAAATTAAGTAAAATGTTATATTAATTATCCCTAACTGATCCCTGTTTCTCCAAACTGAAATCTGAATTCAACAGGTCTACAATTTAAACACATTCAATATCCAAATATAATTTGTTAAATTAAAGTTTGCATTTCTTACTCAAGTGTTTATAAACTTTTTTTTTTTCACTGAATACTCATGCAAAGTTAGGTAACTAGAAATATATATATAGATAGATAGATAGATAGATGTAATATATAGATGGAATATTTGTAAATATTATAAGTTCCCAAATTTTTGTTGTAATTAAATTTGATTTTTTAAAAAGTTGAAATGCATAATGGCACTTAAAAATAACTATACACCAAAAACTATGCATCTGAATATCTGTCTCTTAGATGAAATAAAGTTCAAGAGCAGGGAGACTAAACGTTCTATAAGTACTTCTTTTTTTAAAACTAGAGGCCCGATGCATAAAATTCATACAAGGGGTTCGGCCCTTGCAGCCCTGGCTGCCTTGGCTCTCGCAGCCACGGTGGCTGGCCTGGCTTCATCCGGAAGGTTGTCCGAAAGGTCATTCCACTGTTTGACTGTCTGCTCTAATTAGCATATTATGCTTTTATTATTATAGATTGATTTCAGAAAGAAAGGGAGAGGGAGAGATAGAAACATTAGTGATGAGAGAAAATCATTAATTGGCTGACTCCTGCATGAGCCCACAACCTGGGTATGTACCCTTGCCAGAATTGAACCCGGGACCCTTCAGTCCCCAGGCCAAACTGGCTAGAGCAAGTGCTTCTTTACTAGCATAGTTTTTCTACCCTGAAGCAACTACCTGGGCCAATGTCTGGTTTTTCCTTTTTGTCTTTAAAGAAATTATCTTATTTTTCACATTTATGATGAGAGGCTGGCAAGTGAGGCGGGGAACGTTGGAGTCCGCAGCAAGCAAGCCTCCCTGCTCGCTTCAGTGCCTGGCTGCCGGCCGCCATCTTGGCTGACAGTTAATTTGCATATACTCACTGATTAGCCAATGAAAAGGGTAGCGGTCGTACGCTAATTACCATGTTTCTCTTTTATTAGTGTAGATTGATTTCAGAAAGAAAGGGAGAGGGAGAGATAGAAACATTAGTGATGAGAGAAAATCATTAATTGGCTGACTCCTGCATGAGCCCACAACCTGGGTATGTACCCTTGCCAGAATTGAACCCGGGACCCTTCAGTCCCCAGGCCGACACTCAATCCATTGAGCCAAACTGGCTAGAGCAAGTGCTTCTTTACTAGCATAGTTTTTCTACCCTGAAGCAACTACCTGGGCCAATGTCTGGTTTTTCCTTTTTGTCTTTAAAGAAATTATCTTATTTTTCACATTTATGAATAAACTTTGATTATTTTTATGATTACTTCCCAGCATCTGTATGAGTGCCATATATACAGACATGGGCAAAAATAGGTTTATAGTTGACCATATGGAAAATAATACAATAATTAATAAATAATAACACAAGAATAAACTCTGTGTTTCACATACTCACAACTGTAAACCTACTTTTGCCCCTCCTCTATAATATAGAAGCAATTCTTTATCTCTTTTTAAAAATTTTAGGCTACTACTAGAGTTACTCAACAAGTGGTAGAGCAGAGTTATTTCTATTAATATTTCTTCTAATGATTGTATTTATGTGATGGAATTTTATTTGTAGTTTAATTTCTTTTAAAATCATTTCTTTCAGTAAGATTTGGTTTTATATTTAATATTTTCTATATAATTCTGTATTAACACAGTTTATTACCTATATAACTCAAAGTAAGAAAAATGATATGGGAAAAGTGAGTTCTACACATTCCCCAATAAACAAATAATAAATTGCCTACCTACATGAAATAAAAATCAACAAAACCTTTTATAGGATACACTAAAGACCCAGTGCATGAAATTCATGAACAAGTGGGGTCCCTAGGCCTGGCCAGTGATCAGGGCAGTTCGGGGCCTTCTGGCTGCCAGCCAGGGCCTTCCTTTGTTCCACGCTGCCCCCTGGTGGTCAGTGCATGTCATAGTGTGCAATCAAACTCAGGGTCTCCTGGTCAAACTCCCAAGGGATCACTTTGCATATTAGCCTTTTATATATATAGATTATTTGATTAAGTTATTAACTTTTTTTGTCAATATTTTTTATAATAAAGATATTAAATCCCAGACCTTTTTGCCAAGCTAAAATATTGAGCTAACCAATAAAAAAACATGTAAAGTTTAGTTTTGATTTTGCTTCACACTTTCAGAAGAAGGAAAAAAAAAAGGATAATGAGCTTTTATACCATGTATTAAGATAGGGGTCCTGACAGGTTTCCAGAGTTCATTTGGAACCTTCTGAATGCCACCACTACTTTTCTGATTGGCTCTTGGCCAGACACAGGTGGCAGAGCTTTCCAGGGCTCACGCATTTGCCAGCTGGCATTTCTGCTTGCAATCACCCTGCTCTAATAGAGGTCATTGGGCCTCCCTGCTCCTGCATGGTGATGGGCCCATTGCCATCTCTTAATTAAAGGCAGAGACTAAGGGAAGCTGCCCCTGGGCAGGGTGTTAGCCAGCTGGCTCCCTCTGTCCAGGCCCTCCCCTCCCTGCTTGTGAACAATGTTTGCTAAGCAGCTGGGGAAATGTAGCTCATTTGCTCAGCGGGGAGGGGGCAGGAACGCAGCAAAAGCCACTGCCTGAACCAAGGACTTGGCAGCCTGCTGTCATGTGGTTGTGGGTGTTAAGATGTGTACACAGGATTTGTGATATGAAGGAAATTTTAATCTGACAGTGATTGAAAGGAGTAGAGCAGAGGCAAATTTTGGAAGATATTTAGATAATTCAACATGTGTGTTTACGGGCTTTGATCCCTTAGACATATGCTTTGCTAAGTCCCTTCAATAAGATAGTATTCAACTACTCATAGAGACAATGTACAATTACACCTATGATAAGGAACCACTAAGACATACATAATGTTAACAGATAAATTAGAATGTTGCAAAATTGTGTGCAAGTGATATTATATAGATACTGCATTATTTCAAGGAGGAAATTTCCAGTTTCCTTGCCATGTTTTTTCTTCTTTTTTTCTCGCAAAATGTATTCCTTGTGACTTCAATAGTTAGGAGTTTCAACCATGTAAACTTGTTTTTTTCTTTTCCTTAGAAGAATTTATCAACATTCTATAGGGTTAAATCAAATTTACCTACAATCTATGATGTTATAGAAGTTGTGCTGGGTGCTATGTATATTATCTCCATCTCTCTCTCTGTGCTCATGATGCTCTTGATAAATAATTTCATCCCATTTTAAATGTCAAATTAAAATAAACGGAGTCACTTTAAAACAGAGTTTGAACCAGAGGAACTGCCTTGCATATTTTATGCTTCAAACTTTGAAAATGTTCAAACAGGGCAGAATGACCTTTGGCCTAGGCCTAAAGCAACATTGAATCCCAAATAACTGTGTGTAAAAATAACATGAAATCAGATATTATGACTAACTACCTGATGACTACTGAACTAAAATTTTTTTAAAAAAGTTTTAGAATTGACATCACTATGTGAGCTTTTCTATAGCAATAGAAATGCCTTGCATTTATGTACTCATTCCCCCTTCTTTTTCTAAGTATCCTCTGCCCTTGTCTCCTAATCAGAAGACTACATGGGCTTCTCCATGAATCAGCGCTTTACTGAATAGCTATCCTTTGATCTCAAATAAAGGCTTGTTGCTTCTCACTTTGAAAGGATTTTTATTTTTAGGTTAACATATCAAAGAAAAAACAGAGGTTTAGTTGTATACTCACAGTTACACACATACTTGAATTACATGGCTGAATTTCGAACACTGATATTCCTGTGAACTTTTTTTTAAAAAAAATCCTTTTACTTTATACTATAAATGTTAATATTTTATGTAACAATCATAGCTATATCAAATATATCAGAATCCTAACTTTAGTTTTGTCTAGATGGTTTTTCGCCAACTTAAATTCTCTTTAAACTAATTGCAAATAATGGCAAACTGATATTATATCATTTCTTACTGAAAATTACTGCTTCAGTCACAAGCTGGGACGTACAATAGCATTGAGAAAGTCTTGCATATTCAGTCACAATCTTGAGCATACTCAGAACATCAGTACACATGATAGTGTATAGAACAGTGATGGCGAACCTTTTGAGCTCGGCGTGTCAGCATTTTGAAAAACCCTAACTTAACTCTGGTGCCGTGTCACATATAGAAATTTTTTAATATTTGCAACCATAGTAAAACAAAGACTTAAATTTTTGATATTTGCAACCATAGTAAAACAAAGACTTATATTTTTGATATTTATTTTACATATTTAAATGCCATTTAACAAAGAAAAATCAACCAAAAAAATGAGTTCGCATGTGTCATAGGTTTGCCATCACTGGTATAGAAGCTATTTGCCTCTTTTAAAAGATAATCTGCTTTTTCACTGCTGTATTCTTAGCATATAGAAGGGGTATTAGAGAGATGAGAGAAGATCAGTAAATGTTTGTGAATGAAGAAAATTACTGAAATTACTAGTCAAATTTTATAGGATTTAATTATCTACTTTAAATCCTTTGCAAAACTCTAAAAAAATTTTTCCTAAACACTTTAAAGATTAGGCACTTAAATTAATCTATGTATTAAAAAAACATGAAGATCAATTGTTTCCATGGAGTGAAAACCTATTTGAATTAGAAATGAGACCATACCAATTTGGAGAGGTTTGGATATATTTAACCCTAAGATAAATTTACATGTTTGATCATATTACATGAGGAATGATAAAACTGCTATGAAAGAAGGAGGTTTATAAGGTTGTATAATTTAGAGTTTATTGGTGGTAGTATAGAACATGGATAGAAATTGACTGATATGTCAAATTATTTAAAACATTAAAATAATAATTAGGACAATTGAAACAAATATTTTACAGTTTAGTGTTTACACACACAGTACCTATTTCATTCTCACAACATCTCTTGGAGGATATCCAGGCACCAATTCTCTACCCCAATTTTAACAGTGAAGGAAACTAAAGATAAGAGTAAGAATGGACTTGCTGTATGTTAGCAGGTAATTTCAGTGTTCTCAGGAAAGTAATGTTCATGGCGTGCTGCTATTGATTGTAAACTTCATGGAAGAAGAACTGTGGTTTGCATTTGTTTTGGATTTTAATACACTGTGAAGATTAAATAATAACCATGTTCCCTATTAGAGTGCTGGAGAAGTAAATGTTATGTTTTTGTTTTTTTCTTAGGAGAAAAATCATTTAAATATTATTCCCATTAAATCTTTTTTAAAATTAATATATGTTTCTCTTTGTAAAGACCAAATTTCCTGGAATATTTTGGAAATGATGGCTTACAGTCACCAACCAAGTCATTGTAATTAAAGACCAATTCTTAAAAAGGATGAAAGATATCTCTGACCATTACTTATCTTTCTGTGTCCTTTAATATCTATCAGAAATGTAATACATGTAAAAAGACCTTAAGGAAAAAACAAGGTTAACCAAGAATTCACACAGAAAAATAAAATAGAGGAGAAAGATTAAAACAGGGACTTTGTGTTTTAAATCTTTATAGGCCTAAGATTTTATATTCAGCATCGTAACTTCAGCAACGAGAGGGGTTACAGGTGTTAGTCTAGACTTTTGTTAACAGTTCCTCTTTGTTTCAGTTTCCAAACTATCTTTCCAGTGATTGTTTTCACTGTCCCCATTTACTACACACCCAAACAAATAATAACAATTTTTAAAAAGGTTTAAGGAAAAGTAAAAAAAAAATAGAAAGTTTGTGAAAATGAAACTATTTTTTGCTTTTATGTATTTTTAAATATTCTTTGTTTGGACTTAGCAAATTGAAATGAAAGTTCCCTAGTGAAGCAGACATTGCCTCTCCCAAACCCTAAATATGATTATAAATCAAATTCACTTAAGATATAAAGCATAAGTCTTACCGGATAGTGTACGAGACACTGTCACCTATTTCTATGAACAGACAGCATGCTAGATGTGCTCCAATAAAACATTCTGAGAAAAACAAGCACACATATAACAATACTAAAATAGTCTGTAAGATAATTTACCTCCTGTAAATTGTATTTTAAAAGTATGAAGATTGATTTTTGCCAAAGGCAGATATGGTGACATGTCACCCACCATCATTGAGTTCTAGACAACACCACAGATAGCACACCTAGTATGTATAGGTGTTTGTTTGTTTTTACAACATTATTATAACATATCTATAGTATATCTATACTAAGATTAAATTGGTTTCTGATCTGTCTTCTTATATATGATTCTAAGTTTTGCTGTCATTAGTAATTCATATGTTGACTTTTTTTTTTTAATTGTATGTACACGTGTAATCCTAGGACCAAGAGACCAGCTACACAATCATCAAATCGAAAGAGACAACTATGACTGCAGAGGGCTTGAAACCAGCTTCAGTGTATGTCTTCCAAATTCGAGCACGCACCGCAGCAGGCTACGGTGTCTTCAGTCGAAGATTTGAGTTTGAAACCATCCCAGTGTGTAAGTCATTTTAATTACTGTCAACTCATGTCTCTGTAATGGTTACCAGAAAAGAGTCAGTGGATCAATACTCTCCCTGGGCACGCTGTCAGCCTTCCGCTGCTTCTGCCTCCCAGGCATGACCCTTTCTGGTGGGAAGCCTCTGTATGCTGTGACCGTAGGTTAGCGGGTTAACAGTCGGTCCTTATTCCTCATCCAGTTAATTCTATGGGGAGGTGAAACATGAGGAGATCCTTAAGAAATGTTTAAACCTTGCTTTTAAAGACTTCCTTCCCACTGCTTCCATACTTCATTGAATTATTGTCGTTTACTTTTTAGTTGGTTTATTGAACAGTGCTACCAGGCTCAGTCTTTCTATGAAAACTCCACAGGGAGCTTTCCTGAGTATTGATTTTGGCAAGAAAATGGTGGTCTTAGGAACCAGCCTGATGGTTTTAAAATGTCAAAATCTCTGGTAGTATCGCTGAGTAGAGGGTCCGAAAATATTTCTGGAAAACCTTTCTTATGCCATCCCTCCCACCCCCTCATAAAATAGCACAAAACCTTTTCCTCTTTAATGTCCAACAAAATATTTAGATTACTTACTCGTCTTAAAGTACATGTTAAAAGCAGACTAGAAGAAGACAGCAACTTCCTTGTTTATAATACATGTAATTATACACACTTTAAAAAGCCAGGCTTTGTAAGAACTAGTGATTTTAAAATAGAGAAAATAAAATGAATATTTCCTCCTTTTGAAAACCGATAAAATGACAGCTAACTTCTGAGATTTACTTTGCAATGATTAGAAACATAATTAAATTAAAGTGTCAATAACACTATGAATTGCAGATCTTTAAAAAATAAAGATATACTATTTAAAGCATATTTAACTGAATTATCTAAACAACAATTTTTTATTATATAAAAAGTAGCTTTTTAAGTGTTACTTAATTTTATACAGTCTAGGATACCCTGGAAAAAAAGATAAATTATATTTTCTGTGCAAAGAAAATTCTATGTCTGAAGTTTAATTGAAGCTAATGAAATACAAACATTTAATACTATTCATCAAAGTTCCTTAATAAAGAATAAATTAGCCATAAAATCCTTATAATATTGGCAATATTTTGATTATTTAATCTCACACCTTAAACCCTAAACTGGATTTATGACAAAAGGCTTGTTATATAAGCTGGGCATGCTAATAGGCCTTATTTCTGGTTTGGTATCATTAGTACTGCATAATGCTTATGTAGTTTACCAACTCTGGGAACAGTATCACCAACCAGTATCTCACAATATTCTTGAGTGCATTGATAACAATGCAAATAAACGATCCAGTTCTAAAAAATTACAAAATTCTACTTAGTTTTAGAATGTTGGCATGTTCAGCAACTCTTTTTTTCCCCCAGACCTTTTAATATACCTTTCCTTACTTTTTTAAATACATATTTTTATTTTTATTGACTTCAGAATGGCAGGGAGAGGGAGAGAGAGAGATAGAAACATCAATGATGAGACTCATTAATTGGTTACTTCCTGCAAATCCCCTACTGGGGATCGAGCCCACAACCCGGGCATGTGCCCTTGACTGGAATCGAACCTGGGATCCTTCAGTCAACAGGCCAACACTCTATCCACTGAGCCAAACCAGCTAAGGCCCTAACTTTATTTATTTATTTATTTAAAGAGTAAATTCCAGTTATGCCAAAATTCATCTATCTGAGAACTGAGAAAACTAATATGAGGTCATTTTCCATATACTTTTTAAAATGCTCACATAAGCCTGTCTACTTTTTATAATTTTCTACATGATTTCTAGAGGGAAAAATATCAGTCAAATATTTTTATACTTTAAGTTGACTTTAGTGTTATTAATAGATACTAAAAATATTTCAGGGCTGTTCTGCCTCCTAGTTATTAATGTGGAATTTTATTTTTACTTGAATATATGTACATATATTTGCAAACATTTTTTAAAAGACTTTTTCTCTGTACAATGTACCTATTGCATACCATCCCCCTTTGAACTTTATGTAGACTCTTTTCTGGATATAATTCAACAAGGATGTTTTGAGCACCTATTACATATAAGTCTTCGTTAGGCTCTGGAGAAATCATCAAAAGTAATACCTGAAACTTCTCACCAGAGACTAAGAATGCAGTCTATTTAATTCTAAAGGATGGAATATTTGTTACAAAACCATTTTAGAATACTAATTTTGTTTATTATTTATTTTATTTTATTCTACACATCAAAAGATTTTCACTGTGGGCACTGCAAGTGATTCAACTTTAAGGAACAACCTATCACTCCTTTCTTGAGGCTTTTAGTCAAATAGGGAGTTAAAGAATAAAAATGGTGATAATTAAAATAACCCTTCCTTTTCAGAACTTCTGTAGCATTTCTGTTATATGCCAATCATTTGACAATTATTTGTGCAGTTCTTTGTGAAATCACTTGAATTATTTTATTGGGAAACTATTAATTTTCATAATTTAGTACTTCACATACATATATTTTTATAAGAGTCTGAAAATACTAGAATGCAAGAATTATGGTAAGTTAAATGTATTTTCCTGTTTTATAATAACAATTTTCTTTTGATGGGTGACAAGAATACTGGCTTTCATGAGTCACCATTACTAAGGAAAGTCTAGCTTATTCAGGTATGTTAGGAAAGACAATTATCTGAAAATAATTGCTTTGCACGTATACTTTAAAAAAGAATTTTCTAATTGGGTACTCAACTTAGAATAATGATGCATAGTAATGATACATTGACACATTGGTTTGCTTAATTTTAAAAATGTATTTATTCAATTATATTATACCTCAGTCATAAAATTGAAGGGCTTTCATTTCATCTACATTATCTTGGGTGTCACAAATATAGCCTTAAAATCAAATGCAAATAGTAGTAAAATAGGAATGCAAAAAAAATGTTTATCTTAGAAAGAATATCCACTTTAATTTTGTTGTGCATATAAATAATGTAATTAAAATTGACCCTTTAAATTATTCTTATTCCTAACAAGTAATGAGTAAAACACTAACAAATAAATGTAACATAAATGAAACCATCAAGCCAAACTAGTTAGCTCTTTTTCTGTTCTTTTTTTACACAAATTGTTTTATAATTTTAATAGTATCACTGAATCTGTCTTAATTCCTACTGTCCAAGAAACATCTTTATGTTTCTTTTATAATTTTCCCTCCAATGCATCACTTCCTTTCATCCAACTACTTTGATTTAAATCTGTATAATCCAACTCCTGGAATAATGCTATTCTGTTTTTTATTGAGATAATTGTAGATTCACGTGCAATTGTAAGCAACAATACAGAGAGAACTCTTGTATACTTTCCTGTTTCCCCCAATGGTAATATTTTGCAAAACTATAGTATCATATTAAAATAAGGGATACTGACATCAATGGGATTCATCAATCTTACATGTCCTAGTTATCGTGTGTGTGTGTGTGTGTGTGTGTGTGTGTGTGTTAAATTCTATATAATTTGGTCAGTTATGTAGGTTTGTGTATTTATCATCTCAGTCAAGATACTGAATAGTAACAAAATCACAGGATCCCTCCTGTTGCCTTTCTATAATCACATCCACTTCCTTTGGTGAAAATTCCTATTCCATAACTAATTCCTGGCAACCATTGATTTCTAAACATGCATCCTAAAATTTTGACATTTCAAAATATTTTTTTTAATTGAGTCATCTAGTATGTGACCTTTTAGTTTAGAATTGGCTTTTTTTTACTCAGTATAGAGATTCATCCAAATTGTTGAATATATCAATTTTTTTTCTTTTTATCATTGAGTAGTATTTCATGATGTGTATATACCCCAGTTTATTTGGCCATTCACATGTTGAAGGACATCTGAACTGATTCTAGTTTTTGCTATTATAAATAAAGATGCAATGAACATTCAGGTACATATTTTTGAGTCAACCTAAGTTTTCATTTCCCTGGGATAAATACCTAAGAGTACAATTCTTGTATCATGTGATAGTTGCTTGTTTAATATGGTAAGAAAATGCCAGATTATTTTCCAGCATGGCTGTATCATTTTACGCTCCCACCAGCAATGAATGAGTGATCAATTTCTCCACATCTTCATCAGCATTTGGTGCTGTCATTATTTCCTTCCTTCTTTTTTTAAAAATTATATTGGACAGGTGGGTAGTGATATTTTATTGTGGTTTAAATCTGAATTTTTCTGATGGTTAGTAAGTTCAACAACTTTTCATGTTTTTATTTGCTTGCCATGCTGTTTTAAATTTTCCCACTATGTACTCATAAAAAATGGTAACTTTGATCATATTATTCTGATTAAGAAAATTAATAGATACGTATTGCTGTAGGAAACAGATCCCAAATTCTTAGCCTATCCTTCCATAGCTCTTATAATCCAGCTCTAACAAAACCTCTCACCTTCAATTTTAACTGCTTAAAAATATAGCTAAAATCTAGAGACTATCTATGTAATATGGGTTTGTAGCCAGGAGTGTGAGAAGCAACATGAGGGAAAACAATGTGAGTTTTCTACATATGTTACTTTACAGTTTCTAATCATGACATACAGTCATTGAAAAAATAAACATTGTTATTTACTAAAGAATCAATAAATAAATCAACAAAGAAAAGTGCTGGTGAGGATGTGGAAAAAAAGGGAATCTTAGTACACTGTGAGCAGGAACACAGACTGATACTGGTACAGCCACTGAGGAAAACAGCATGGAGTTTCCTCAAAAAATTAAAAGTGGGCCTAGCTGATGCAACATCTTGGGAGAGATAGAAAGGGTTCCAACAGTGCAGTTAGGTAAAACAAAAGGTTATGCAATTATATTTAACAATGGAGTGTAGAATTGACTCTATGTTGTCTCTAAAGTTTAACATCACTAAAACATAGGAGATGGGAGTGGATTTGTGTGCTGAGAAAATGAGGAAGACTCATTATGGAGATGACTCAAAAGCACTGGAGCAGCAGTTGGAGTCCAATCCAAATAATTTTTATAGGCCAAGTCTGCATGGTTTTCTCTAGAAACAGTGCTCCTGCCAAAAAGAAAGTTAAAACTGAGAAAAAGCAATGGTTTAAGTAATCTGACTTTAGAGAAGATAAAGCAAATCTCAGTGATAGTGGGCTATCTTTGCCCTACCCTCTTTATACAGTTCGCCAGGATTAAAATCCCTACTCCAGATCTCAATATCAAGGAGTAGGAGAAAACAGAGTGAAGATCCATTAAATTGTAACTATTATCATCCAAGAAGAGGTTGAATAAGATAGTAGATTTAGGTTGTAAATAATAGTTTTTCTTGGTATGAACAGCTGTTGATGATATTGAGCCCTAAACGCTGGTCTGAAAGGATTGAAAGTGTAGATCAATTCAAGAAGATGGTCAGAGTGAAACCAAAATCTCAGTGGAACCTCCAAATTATGAAACCAAAATGTAGGGTGTTGGGTCTGAGTTCCTTGTTTCAAGAAATCGAATAATGAAGTCAGAGACAAAAACAGTTAGTGGAAGCAAAGTTTATTGGGACCATCCATGCGAATTTCAGTCTATTAATCCATGTGTAGAGTCCCACATGGCCATAAACCATGGGAGCAACAGGAGTGCATCTCCTGCCATTAACCCAGCGGCTGGAAGAGAGAGAGAAAGTGAGCACACTTTTTTGTATATATGCTTGTTAGTTCCTGATTAGTCCTTTCAAAGAATTTTGCCTTAGCAACAGCCTTAGGATTGGTTTATATGCCTTAATATTATGTGGCTGGTTATCTACAAGTTGTCTGTCTTAGCAATATTTTAAAGCTCATGTCTCCCACAAGCTCCCTTCCTACCCTACCCAATTGAGTGTATCAGTAACTCCACTAATTTTACTTCCTTTCCTTCCCCCACCTCCCTCAAGAGAGTCAATTTTGGTTAGAAAGAATCAAGGGACAGGTGACAGGATTAGAAAGAGAAGTGTTTAGATGCCCAACACTTATCTGGGGCCAAGATCTGAGAAAAGGGTTGTAAACAACAAAACATGGAAAGTAGGGTTAATTTTAGTTTTGATACTTAGGATTTGTTATCTTGGAGGTGAACTAATGCCTCACTCTCAACTTATCAGAACCATTGTCATTAAACTATAAGCATGCTGGGTATCCTATTGAGGATTTCCTAAGAACATCAGTAAAATGTATGATAGTATTTTAATTGGGTTTAGTTATCAGCTCAAAGAAACTTTTTCTTTATTATTGAGGTACACGACATTCATGAACTTGGTGGGGGAGGGGTCCCTCCCTCAGCCTGGCCTGTGCCCTCTAGCAGTCCGGGAGCCCTCCGGGGATGTCTGACTGATGACTTAGGCCAAGGGGGAGTGGGCCTAAGCCGTCAGTTGAACATCCTTAGTGCTGCCACAAAGGCCAGAGAGGCTCCCGCCACCACCATGGCTGCGCTCGCCAGCCATCAGCCTGGCCTGTGGCTGAGCGGTGCTCCCCCAGTGGGAATGCACTGACCACCAGGGAGAAGCTCCTCTGTTGAGTGTCTGCCCCCTGGTGGTCAGTACATGTCATAGCGACCGGTCATTCCGCCATTTGGTTGATTTGCATATTACCCTTTTATTATATAGGATAACTATCTAATCATGTCTATATTCCTTTTTAATTGTAATTGTATTGTTAAAATATAAAATATTTCATCTAAATCTGTGTATTTTAAATAAAAAATAACGTAAACAAATCTAATCTTACTGCCGACTTAAAGTATTAAAATTTGCTTTGATATTTTTTTTCAAAAAAGTGGTCCTATTTACAAAGTATACTTTCTGATCATATTCTGATTCAAATTATGGTGTCTAAAATTATATCTAGAATAATGATATTACATTTAACTTCACTGATGTCATAATCACATAATTTTGCACGTCAACCTATGTCTATGTAAGGTAACCAGACTTTTTTTTCTTCTACAGAACAGCCACATGCAAATTCTAAGCATGTCAGATCTCATAGACTTAGCACCTCCTATTTAGATTAAGTTGTTTGAAATCAAGGGCTAAGACCCATTTATCATGAAAACCAAAGATCCCTAGATGACTACTGTGCAAACAATTACACTGTTTCTCTATGATGACAAGGAAATAATCAGTGACTTAGTGATTCTTTCAAATCTCCATTTGGAGAGTAAATATTTTTCCCTAAATATGTTGTTTTTTTCAATTACACACTTTTGAGAAGAGATATTAGAGGGAAATCCCAGCCTCGTGTGGGTGAATTGCATAAACCATGCATTGATCATCGACCATTAAGCAGTTTTTATTTGAATGCATATGATGACGTTAACTACAAACTCCATTTTCTGTCTTCTATCAGCAGTTGCAGCATCCAGCGATCAAAGCCAGATTCCTATAATTGCTGTGTCTGTGACGGTGGGAGTCATTTTGTTGGCAGTGGTTATGGGCTTCCTCCTCAGTGGAAGGTAAGTGATGAAGCTGTGATTCTCAACTTTTGCAGCTGGTGTCTGCCCTACTTTGATCTGACCATTTGGCTGTTAAGCACATCCCAAAATAAACCAGGCAAGCAACACATTTATTAGTAGACAACCTCAATGTCTTATGTATTTCTTAAGCCTTAACTTGTCCCTGTGAGTGCTAGGTTTTAAGCACACAGTTTATCTTTGTCAGGTATGCTTTCTTCACAAGAAACATATTAACTTATTGTTTATTCTGTCATTTATAAAACTGTATCTTTGGTAGAGTTTTTTTTTTTAAACTGACATTTGTTTCCTCTCAGAAGTATTTATGGTTGCCTGCTTCAGTTTTAGCATTTGGGATAGACGATGTCTGTGCCTAGTGGGTTGAGAGGAATGGGACTAATAATTCAAGTTAGCCAGCATTCTGGCCTAACAAGGTGATGGATACAAAGCAGACACTTTGGCAAATAAGCGTTTTGTGACATAACCAGCCCTTTTAATGCCTGCTTTTATTTTCAGGTTCTGAATGATTTCAACCTGAATACATCAATCATAGTATATATGTATCCAAAGTAAATTTTATTGAATGTTTTGTCAATAGATACATTAATATGTGTATCATATATATACATTTTTATTTTGAAGAAAAATAAAATAGGTAGAGTCCCAATAAAAACTTTCCTAAAATATATATAAATAATTAAAAGGAAAAATAAAAACATGATTGTACTCTATTCTACAACAAACATTTAAATGTTTAATCTAGGCCATTGTTAAAAGGGATATTTAGTAATGAGAGCTTCAATTTGAAAATGTTCTGGTATAAGAATATTATAGAAAACTTGATGAAAGTCTTCATGGAAATACTTAAACCTGCACAAATATGTGAGATGAACTGTAAGGCCCCCAAAAAAGTCGGGAAATCAATATTCATATTGATTTTGTTACTGTTCTAGTCATTTACTTTTAATCTTCAGCATCTATTCAAGTCATAAATATGCAGAATTAGGAACTTTTCAATACACTACATATTTTATTCTAAAAAGAATTATGACTATATTCATAAATTGCAGTAGCAACAATTTATTTTCATAAAATTTTACTTCCTTTGAACACCCTTTCTCTTTGTACCTGAAAATTCCATTTCTTCTAGTTCTTGTCATTTAAGAGTCCTCAGGCTTTTCTTAAGAATATATGTAGAAACCCATTGCCTAATTTTAATGTTAATATAACAGCAGTGCATTTTTAGAAAATCTCTGGGAAGCTGTGTGTGTGTTCTGTGAGGACAGCTAGCCCTTTCCAGGAAGAAAGCTGGGGATCTAGTGCCCACTGATCTCTTCTCTCTAAAGGCACCTGGGGAGAAGTCTCTCCCTTTGTTTCAGATTTCTGGAAGATGAGCTAATTCCACCAGTCTTGTCTTAAAAACTTTGCTCAGATTTTTATCCAATAAGATCACTAAGCTGAGTAAATTGTAATTACTAAAAAAACTACCATGTGATAATGTGTCTTTTCTACCCCCAAAGGGTAGATAACTGGGATACCTTTGGAGAGCTGGTTTGTAATATGATATATTTACTTCTGACTGAGGTGAGTTGTTTCTTCCCTTCTGATAACTCCAGAAGCATTACTTATATTTAGGGAATTGGGATCAAAAGAAGGTATTTTATTTGTTGAGCCCACACTTAGAAGAAATGAGTAAAACAGGAAGAATGAATCAAGGTCTAGAAGCCAATAAATTTGTGTGTTTGTGGGTTTATTAAAAGACAAATCAAATATAACAAATATTTTATTGTAATCTTCTCACACTATATTTATTTAACCTAAGAAAGGTTAATGTGAATTTATTGATGACATGCAGGTTTATGGATTCTTCTTATCTGTATGTGAAAAAGCCACTTTTTGTTCATATCCTATATAATAAAAGAGAAACATGCAAATTAGCCATCCCTTGGCTATGCTCAAGCCACGCCCACAAACCACGCCCATGGGCCACGCCCACAAGCCAATCAGAGTGACTATGCAAATTAACCTGACAAAGATGGAGGTTAATTTGCATACGAAAGTGTCAGGCGCCCCAGGAGGCCATGGCCGCAGGCTCCCAGGACCTTCACTGGCTCCGTGAGGCAAGGGTGTAGCCACGCCTGCAGGCTCCCAGGACCTTCGCTGGTCCGGAGGCGAGGCTGCCCATGCCTAGCCACACCCGCAGGCTCCTGGGACCTTGCGGGCGGAGAGCAGGAGGTTTGGAGGACTTGGCAGAGTAGGAGACCGCTGGACATAGAGCAGAGCAAGAGAGAGGGCGGCTTGAAAGGTTAATGTGAATTTATTGATGACATACAGGTATATGGATTCTTCTTATCTGTATGTGAAAAAGCCACTTTTTGTTCATATCCTATATAATAAAAGAGAAACATGCAAATTAGCCATCCCTTGGCTATGCTCAAGCCACGCCCACAAACCACACCCATGGGCCACACCCACAAGCCAATCAGAGTGACTATGCAAATTAACCTGACAAAGATGGCGGTTAATTTGCATACTCGGGTGTCAGGCGCCCCAGGAGGCGATGGTGACCATGGCCTCGGGCTACCAGGCCACAGGCTCCCAGGACCTTCACTGGCTCCGGGAGGCAAAGCTGTAGCAACGCCTGCAGGCTCCCAGGACCTTCGCTGGTCCAGGAGGTGAGGCCGCCCGTGCCTAGCCACACCCGCAGGCTCCTGGGACCTTGCGGACGAAGAGCAGGAGATTTAGAGGACTTGGCAGAGTAGGAGACCGCTGGACATAGAGCAGAGCAAGAGAGAGGGCGGCTTGGAGAGCGCAGCTCCCTCTGTCACCCCAGATTCCTCATCACAGCTGTGGAAACTGACAGCAGAGAAGAGGAAGTCCCACCCCCACAGAATTGGCTAGAATCAGCCTTTGGTCAGACAGCTCTCAGCAGCCTGATAGCCAGGACTCTCATCCACCTGCATCTCAGACCATGACAGTAGAGAGTTGGGACTATGTCTAAAGAACAACTGTTGATACAAGGTAGCTCTGCAGCCAGAAGATGCCGGTGTTATTGACAGAAAATGTCTGCAGAGCAGCATGCATCTGATCTTGAAAGAAGGCGGTGCCTG